CCTCCACCTCCACTTCCCCCAAAAACACCTCACCCCCTGTTAATATCTTTCTTTATAAATACAGTGCTCTATATTGGATTTTACATTGTTTCTCCTCCCATAGACTTCCAGCCATTTTTCTTGTGTCATGTACAGTATTTAGATACAGAGGACTTAGGAAAAGGTCCAGCTTTCAACAGCCAGTTGAATATGTCACCTCATAGAAGGCCTGGTGTTTAGTGTTGCAATCTGTGCAGAAGGAATTGAATGGGCTGTATGTAAGTGTGACGAGTACTGAGTATACGAAGAGGCAGGACGCAGACGCAGGAATTAACAAGGTCAAGGTTTACTAAACAATGACAAAGAGAAATAACAAAGATAGAGTGAACGACACGAAGCTAAACAATCACACACAACGTCATACTGAACAGTCCAGTGCTAAATAATAATATTTAGCAGACGCTTTTATCCAAAGCGACTTACAGTCACGTGTGCATACATTTTTACGTATGGGTGGTCCCGGGGATCGAACCCACTACCCTGGCGTTACAAGCGCCATGCTCTACCAATTGAGCTACAGAGGACCACAAATAGGGGTGGTGATGAGATGATGAGGTGCAGGTGCACTGGAGGTGATCAGGGTGCGTTGGGTTTCCATTCCGGTGTTGCCGAGGTGGTGCGCTCAGACCGGTGGCTCAGTAGACCGGCGAATCAGAGCACCGGAGGGGAGCAACGGGAGGAGACGTGACAGTAAGATCTATTAATGGGGTGGAAGCACATCAAATGACAATATCAGTCTCACACTGAGAACCCCTGAACAGATATTGGTGTAATAATCATTTTGCTCTGTTATATAGTATTCTGACTATAACAGTATATATTTCCATGTATCTAATCCAGCTGTGAATGTTGTATTGATGTACTGTCTATTTCCACTGGTTATCATAGGAGGCTGAGGTTATGCTCTTCTTTCCATTTTTGGATTCAGTGAACCTGAGCAGAAGTGCAGGTATTTGAGATTATAAAACGGATGGGTCTAATCCTGGATGCTGATTTGTTAAAACCGCATTCCAGCTGGTGTCTATTCCACAAGTTACCACCGGCTAAATCTATGACGTTGAAATGCCTATTTACTCTGTTCCATCTGACTGCGCAATCCACTGTCTCATCAGTTCAGCCAGGTAATTTATATACTAGAGCTACACTGTAAAAAGCATCTAGACATGATCTCCCATTTCTTTTAGACTAGCATTTGGTTTCAACAGCGGAGATTTGAAGAATAGAAAAACATGAAACGCAGCTAGTTTGCTATCGTTCCAGCTTCAGTTTCTTCTGAACAGTGGTCTGGCAAGAGAGTAAATGTTCTATGCCAGGTGAAATCGCACATCATTAGCTCATTGTTATGGATGTATCAACAACAACAAAAAAAGAACTGGAAAACAGCTTAAACAAACGCAAATGCAGCTACTGTTGTCACTCTGGCTGCACTGTTTGATATGACTATGTTAGCCAAAGTTGGTTAGCTAGCAAGCAAGGGATAAGAAGGTTGCCAGCCATCATGGCAACGAAAAATTTAGAACAAACGACTGAGTCATAAACGTGAGGAGGAGCGTAGTGAGAGGGAGAAGGCCTGTCCGTCCACAAGTTAAACGTTCCAAAAGGCACTCCTCGTAAAAGCTTTAGCACTGGCACCACAGCCAGGGTCAAACGAGGACCACAGAGCAGTTTCCACTGGAGAGAGAGAGAGAGAGAGAGAGAGATTAAGAGTGGAGTGAAAGATAAAGTAGAGAGGAGACACAGAGAGATGGACAGGAAGAGAAGAGTGGAAATAGGGGATAGAGTAAGTGGAAGAGTGAAGCGATGGTCAGGGAGAGAGACTGGTTAACCATAATGTGTTATTCCAGAGACTGATGTTTCTAACAGACAGACCTACCAGACAGTAGACGTTCCTTTGTGTCCAGCCAAGAGAACCAAAATCACAGGGTTGGTTGGGATTAGATATTTTGAACCTGTGTCATTACATGTTTACACATTTATTATGACTAGCCATAACGTTTTTTCAGTGATGATGAGAGGAATTAATCCAAAGGGTCCTGATGATGATGGTGATGTGAAATGTCAGGCAGTGACACAGCCACCTGCTTTCTGTGAGGATGTTTGGGTATATGAGTTTACAGTACATCACTTTGTTTGTTACTCTGTCCACATAGACTTGGCACCATAACCATAGATAGGGTCAGTGTCCATAGCAACAAAACGTTTCCAAACCACTTTTCCACAATTTCTATGTTTAAGACAGCTGGGATGACCTAATCGTTGCTAGTGGAAACAGGTTATCAGGGTTAACCCATCTGGACCGCAGGATTACACAGTGGGAGATATAATATGGAAGGAAGAATAACTAATGAGAGAGAGAGGGAGGGGGGGGAGAGAGAGAGAGAGTTCTGGAGTTGAGAATGGAGTATGGGTTGGGTTTGGATCTGGCCTCTCTCTTCAACACACCCAGGAGTCCCCTAACATC